TGTACAGGCATTCCCATACGCCGAAGTTGTTGATATCCACTACCCGCCCGCATCATTTTAACCGTGGGATCACGGAACACAAAAGCACGAGCTTTTCCGCTACGGTGCTGTTCTGGGCGTGTACAGCGAAACATTCTAAACGGAAAAAAAAAAGGGATACGAACGAAGAAGAAAAAAAAAAATAATTCCACCCGCGATACCTACCACCTATAAAAAAAAAAAGAAAAAAAAACCATTATCCATTAACAAAAAAAAACCCAATATATATCAATAATAATGATAATAAGAATAACAATAATACGGAGCACATGTTCATGTGTACCACTAAAACAATTGTACCGTCAGTGAGCAGAACAAAAAATCTGCAAACAAACAACGGAAACAAAAAAGTAATGGAATTATAAAACAGAACACCCAATCCCAAAGATTCCAGTTAATAAGAAAATGGTGCACACACATACGCATGTCTATATTTAGAATAAAAGTATACCGTCAGTGAGCTGAACAGCCCAGTTTTCTGCAAACACACTTAACAGGAAAAGCAAGTAATGGAATTATTAGAAAAAAGAACACACACACACACAAAAGCAAAAAAAAAAAAAAAAGATATTCCAATTAAAAGAGAAAGCTGGTAAAGAGATTATTAGTTTATTCACCCATGGGGATGTACGCAAATATAATTATGTTATTTTAACCATTATTATTATTATTTGTCCTCAAGTGAGTCCCACCGTTCAGTACAGGGTAGCGGAGAACAACACCACTACAATCAGCAGCGGTGCTGCAGTATGCATCCACACAGGACTGAGACTGCTGTCAACATTACCCTTATTGTTCTTTACAGCAGAGGCAATGGTGTTGCTGATCTCTGGCTTGGGTACAAGAGATGGAGTGGTGGTTGGTGCTTCTGTGGTAGTGTTCTCGGGGCTCGGCGGAGTAGTGGGATTGATTTCGTGTGAGTCTGCGCCAGAAGTAGAATTAGGTGCAGTCGTACCTGAAACTTGAGATTGGTTGGTGCTATCCGGAGAGTCAGTTGAGACACCAAGTGTAGCATTATCAGTTGTCGATGTATTCCCTTCTGTTACTTGATTTTCTCTGTTGAGACAATCATTAATCGCAGCACCGTCTTGAGCAGAATCACTCGTTGTAGGCTTGTTAGTGTTTTGATCTGTTGAAGGCTGCACTGTACCTGCTCCATGTTCATGGGAACCACCGGCAGGAACATGAGATGAAGTGCCATGACCGCTTCCTCCAACGGATTGACCGCTTGCATCTGGACGTGTCTCGGGAACCTGTGGTAGTTGAGTCTTGGCAGGCTGATCCTTCTCAGGATCTGATGACTGCGCACACTTTTCTTTCTCAGTATCATTTTTTCCTTGTATACACTTCAGGTACTTATCAGCTCTTTCACGTTCATCTCTTGTAATAACAGGAAACCCTTGCAATAAGTTATCAACACTGTTTGGTACAATGTCATAGGTAGGGTCACTCACAGCAGCAGCCGCCATGGTATACCCGCAGGCGCAGCACAGCACAACGGCCAACACACACATCACACGGCGCATCATCATCATCATCATGAGAGATAGACAATAGTTTGGTTTGCGTAAAAACACTGATCTAGAAAGAAAGACAATCAAAAAGCAAAAAAAAGAAAATAAATGAAGTATCAAACATGTTAGGACACTCAAATCGATAACCACTATGGAAAATCACATCGTGAAAGTACAACCTACCAATTAAAGAATGCAATACAGCGCAATAACCTCAGTAAGAGTAAAAACAAACAAAAAAGCCCACACTCACAATTCTATCAAAAAAAGGCTGAACCACCCAGCAAAATCATCAAGCAAATAAAAAGATATTAACCATTAGCCCAATTTACCCAAGTAAACACAGAAATATACACCAACTATGGGTGTACATCTATATATGTGTGTATATACGCAATTATAAATAGAAATTCATCTGTTATTATTATTTCCTTTTTCCCACTTCAAAAAAAAGTTCATTATTATTATCACAGTGCAAGCCCACAGGCACACACAAAGAGAGAGTCTCCAAGAACACACACACACACAATGGAGTAGCAAACATAATAATTATTATAGGATAAACACATAGAGAGCAAAAACACACAAAACACACTAACATTAAGAAACAAAAAAAGAAGATACATCCCAACAGGTGGAAGATTAGTTAGACTGTAGGGATGCATACAAAAAAGAAAAAGAAAACAAAGGATGACCTGAGTCACACCATCACCACACAATCACAATCAGCACACAAGAATACAGGCCAGTGTAACCACAATCAGTAGTGGTACACGCACCCACACAGAACTGCGGATACTGCTGCTGCTGTCTGCATCACCCTTCTTGTTATTTGCAGGTTCAGGAGGAAGTGTTATTGTTGTTTATCCCTCATCATTATTGGGTGTATTGTGAATGGTAGAGTTATTTGTTGTGTTCGTTGAGTTAAATTCATTGTTTTGCGTGGAAAACTCCCACACCACCACTCCCAGTTCCATCAGCTTCAGTAGATGCAGAAGGAGATGGTTGTGTGACCCGATCGTTATCTGCCAGTTCCCCGCGTACTCTCCCCCTTTCCTCATCGTGCGGGTTCACTTCCTGTTCCTCTTCCCTGCAGTCCTTCACTGGAGTTGGATCCGTCCTGTTGTCTGCAGAGGAACCAACAGGAGAACCATCACGAACACGAGCAGCAGTACTTTCAGTTCCTCGTGAA